TTTTGATAATTCTTTTAATATTTAACTAGTAATTAGGTGCCCAGCCGTTTTCTGTTTTTGAGTCTGTTTATTGTGCGTTTAAGTTCAGCGGGGGATATGAATTCTGCTCTTATATTCGCGAAGTACGAAGTATATAGGTTGCTTCACGCTGTTTGAAATTTCCTCATTAAAGATATGGTTTACTACTGGATTGGTTTTAAAGATACTTGAAAAGTAAACAAAAAACGCCTCCTCTTTTTCTTCACCTCTATAGAGGATGCTGGTACCCGATTTTAATGGTGGTATTCTAGATTGCTCTCTGGTAACCTTTTTGATAGTCGTCCATAAAGAAGGTGAGCCGGGGCTAATTTGCGCTAAAAATTGCTTAAATGAACAATATCAGTGATCATCACTCAAAAAATAAGAATTACCTATTACAATAAACGTACAAAACGTTACAAAAATATTCGAATATTATTGTAAATTACGCTAAATTACCAAGAGTAAATTCAAACTATACATCACATGAAAAATCCATTTCATATATTTGGTCAGTACGGTACATAAGAAAGCATTCTCTAAGTGGGTTGACGTTTCGAAATGTGTAATCACAAGAACCATTACATATTCCGAAATATCGGCACATTTAAATAATATTTTAAAGGACCGTAGTATCTGATAGAATTCCTAGTACTTAAACCAAGTACTTGCGAATTAATTTTCAATTGCCTGAACTCTTGCGATTACATCGCACAAAATTAAGAACAGAAGAAAACTTATGTCAGGAAAGAACTATATATGCACTACATGGAAAATTGGAAACCCAAAAAATATTTATTCATGTCGTTCAATGCTTATTATCCAAGATTAATGAAATCAGAGAAATGTACAAATTATAGAACACGAGAACGGTGATTCACTGTGAACACAGAGGTAATGTGTACAAATGTTTTCTTAATCGCCATGCTCGAAAGGCTGTTTCTCGTCCTTATTTTCCGTGAGCGAAACATCTAATTTTTTGACCGCGTGTGAAACATCGCGAAGCGTGTTCGAAATATCTGTAACGATTCGCATTTGTTTTCGCCTTGACATCTTTTTTCATTTCTTTACTTTTGCATTGCGTTTCGCTGCGTGTTAAAAAATAGAATACGCAATTATCAAACAGTTTCTACTCTTCACTTACCTCTTCACTTACCAGCGACACAAATTCTCCAATTAGAATAGTCAGGTCACCCTTTACCCCGTATTAAATCTCGTCATTCGAAAGATTTATGACACCTTCCTTAATTCCACTGCTTAGCTATTCAATAATAACAAATCATGAAAATTAAAGCAACTGTTCAGAGGCCCCTTCCTGGAAGAAACTCTGAGATTGTTAGTTATGTTTAATGTTCAATTATGTTTATAATATACCACAAAATCAATGTATTTTATGTAAATAATTTTCAAACCCTTGAAAGGAATTTTTATGTCGAACAAGGAAAATATAATAAAAAAAAGAATACGCAACACGGGCGCGTGGTGATTTCCGCTCTCGTCTCTTTGTTCGACTCGACTCGTGCGTGAATCACTTGTTTCGCGCTCTCGTTACGTAAATTCCCATTCTGATATTATAATTGAAATGTTTATTGTTCATAAAGATCTGTTAATACACACATACGTTTTGAACCATACCGGGGAATCTTCCTATCCACAAGGCATCACATATAATTATAATTCCTGAAATTCGTTTGTGATGACACGTCAGACGACATTTGACATTGCTTTATTTACACCTACAAATTATTGCATTTAGAAAATGTAATTTATCTTTTAACTAAAAAAAGCTTTCCATCTTCTCTAACTATAAACTCACACTCATTTTCAATAGATCGATTACAAATCACTACAAAACGATTATGACTACTTGATAATGAAGTAATCAACAAATGACGTAATAAAATCGTTCATTCTATTAATTTTAAGGTTCTAATAATGTGTTTGTATAATAGATTGGATTAATAAAAAAACGATAATGCACACATCTAGAGTCATCATCAAAAAAAGAAAAAACACGAAATTTGGTTGAGTAGAAAGCTTAATCGTATTTCTAAATTAAAATCTTTAGTTTTTTTTAAATATACGTGTTCATGAATTGATTTGTAATGCGTGTTTCTATGTTTCCTCAGTACATTTTACATCTGTCTCTGAGGACGGCTATTTTATCCTCAACGTATGATTTAAGATTAATGTTATTCAGAATTGATATCCAGTGAATGGTCAGCTATGTAACAAGAGCCCGAATCATCTCGCGCACGTATTGCGTAAACTTATTTTAAAATGCCGTGAACGAACGATGTTTCACACTTGCTTCCCAATGTTTCGCTCAGGCTTCGTAATGTTTTGTACACGGTTTGTTAAAATTAAAAAAAAAACTGGCTGTTTCGCGCACGGAAAACAATCACGAGAAACCGTGTCTCACATACATGTTAAAAATTAAATTGTGGTATTATCTCATTTGTGGTGTTCACTCAAGTACTACATGAAACTATAGAGTTTGTTACCAACAAGCCTTTCATTTCCTCGGAATATTCGAATACGGATTACAGTGAAAATGTAAATGGCAGTGGTACGTGATGAGAAATGGTTGTGGATATATAGATGGCAGAAGATACTTAATCAGCATTATTTGTCCACAATATTTTTCATGATAATTCTTTTTATTAGTTAATGAGTTATGTTCTGCCCGTCTATTCATTTCATACTTTTGATACGCAATGTGTTGAGTGTGTTCTTTAATGAATAATTTTGAGAATTTAACCATCCTCCTGCGTGCACCATACTTGAGTGTAATGTTGTATTCCAAAACGCCATTGTATAGGTTTATTTTGAAATATTTATAAAAAATGGAATATTGCAATCTTTTTTTAATATTATTCGTTATTAATGAAAGTTAAAGGTTCTCATTTTCAATTAATAAATTAAAACATTTGTATCAACTACACATTATTAAACTACCCATCTTCCCAAGTGTCTATTTAGCACCTACACTGACCTCTATACGAATTATTGCTTTAAGTGCATATTCAGTATTCATATTTGGGAAGCAATGCATAAAACTCTTTTCTACTTCAACCAACTTCATAAACGTCTCTTTCATGATCGTAGATTTTCTATGATAATGACACTGATAGTCTTCATTAAATATGACCCAAAATATATGCAATAGTTATTAACAGATAAATGAAAATAATGGTCATCTATTTAGTTATTATTTTTTATCGCATAGATGTAAAGCATTAATTTGAATACATGTGATATTTTAATAATTTTTTCATCGAAATGTTACTTAGAAATTGAAACTCAAATTGTTCAAAATTAAAGTTTCATCTTCATTTAGGGATCATTTTCGTACATTACCTTTCATAATAATGAGAATATCATGACGTTGCCTTGAAATCTGGGTACGGCAGATGGCACAATGGCTAACGATCGCAGTAGTCGTCGCGGCCACGAGAGGCGCCAGCGCTCAATACCGTAACGCTCCGAGCGGCGCTGTCGTGAATTATGTCGAATTCTGGGAAGTTCTTCCAATTTCATCCATCCTTACTGATCTCCATTTCGCTTGTACCACCTTGCCCCTACGCGTGCTCGTCATTATGCATCACCTTCCTCACACACTTCCGTTCCTTCACATCCTCGTCTACGAACAACCCCGCTCAAACACAACCCCGCCCAAATACCATGACCGGGAGATCCTGGGGTTTGAGTCCCGATGGTGGCAGGATTTTCGACACTTATCAGGTAGCTAGTTCTGTCGCTGTCTGGAGGAGAATTCGAGCGGCCGGCTGCTCTGATCGGTGTTTTCTCCTATCAATTCCAGGTGAGTGCCACAGCGGTACCCTAACACGCAGGCCACGAACATCGCGCGATCTTTCTTTCCCATTCCTTCTCCTATTCTCACCCCTTAAACACACACTTACATGTATTACACTACAACACATTCCGGAAGTTTAGAGCTTGTTCCGGCTACGGCGGTGCGCCGCTGGTGGGAAATACTTGGTAGGAGAAAACCTTACACGTTGACGGTTGGTCAGCGCCGGATCCCACCATCCGTCGGAGTAAGATAACCACTACCTCCTGAGCAAGACACATACACTACACTTATGGGACTAATGACCTTCGCAGTAGACGCGGTCAGAATCACTATATCACTAGCAATCATCAATCAATCCCAAACACCCTCACAATTACATCCTCAACTCATCCCTGCACGTACTCATTGTGGCACTCTCCTCTCACCCATCTTTCCTCTTTTCTCATCTCACTTTCGTCACCGTCTCCACTCTTATCACCAGAACACCATCGCCTCCCCCTCCACCTCTCTCTCTCTCTCTCTCTCTCTCTCTCTCTCTCTCTCTGTCGCTGTGCCACTACACTGGTCTCCCCGTCCCCTCCGTCCCCTTCGGTCGGAACCGAGTAATCTCAAAATCACAGATGACGCGCACCAGTTTAGGGCTGGGTCGTACCGGACATGAGGGTTCGACGACACGGCCCGCTTCTCTCGGACGGAAGGGAGCAACGGAAATTGGGGCATCTGGCTCCGGAGCCCTAGAATGATCTGCTTAGGTCGGAAGGTAAACTTTAATATCTGCAAGCAAAGGTTTTAATTTTTATTCTTTCAAGACAGCCTGTCAGATGAGACAACGTGCCATTTGATCGCTGATGTTAAAAAGGAAAAAAAATTGCTTATCGTTTAACCATGTTACAGTGTTGGATCATCCAGTGCTGGATCATCCTTTTAGGTTTTATTATCAATTACTTGTATTTGGACACTTCATATTTTGATTTTACTTACAGTAATCAACCTGAACACAGAGTACATTTTGACTGGTGCAATATGTGCTTTATTCACTTGATAATATTGGAGGGATGGGAGCTTCATATGAGATTGGAAACAATATAGACAAGATATCTGAAAACGGCGACCCTGACCCCTAATGTCTGCTAAATTTGCAATGTGTGCGTGTGTTCTGTTGCAGAACCAGTGACGGAGGTGCTGGGCGGGCCGGACCTCTTCATCGACCGAGGCAGCACCATCAACCTGACGTGCCTGGTGCGCTTCGCCCCCGAGCCGCCGCCCGCCATGCTCTGGAGCCACAACAGAGAGGTGCGAACCCCTCCTTCCCCTCCCCCTCTTTTCCTTTCCTTTTCCTTTTCCTTCTCTTCTTCTTCTTCTTCTTCACCTTTCTCTTTTTATTTTCTTCTTCTTTCTCCTCCTCCTCTTTCTTCTTATTCCTCATCTTCCTTTACCTTTTCCTCTTTCTCCTCATCCTCTTCTCTTCCTCTCTATCTTCTTCCACCTGCTCTTCTTCCCCCTTTCTCCTCCTCCCCCTCCTCTTCCTCCGCCTCCTCCTCCTCCCACTCCTCCTTCCCCTGCCCCTCCCCCTCTCCCTCTTCTTCTTCCCCCTGCTCTTCTTCCTTCTGCTCTTCCTCCTTCTTCTTTTCCTTCTTCCTGCTCTTCTTCCTCCTACTCCTCTTTTTCTTTCTCCTCTTCTTCCCACTCTTTTTGTTCCTTTCCTTCCGCTTCTTCTCGTTTTCCCTTTTCTTCTTCCTCTTCTTCTTGTATTATCTTAAAGGGTTCAGTTACTGTTCACAAGGCATTCGTATCGAACAGTCATAGTGATGATTTTTCTTTACATTTATTCATATTACATCATATTACTGTGTATGAAATACTGTACAAAATTTTCAATATTCCTTTGATTTTTCTGTTTATCTTCATATTTACTTGTCCTTTGAAGGACATACATAAACATAAGCAATTTTTCTGAAAAAATATCTCTTTTTTTTATATACTTTGTTCCCTTGGCCCAACTTCATATTTCAAAAGTTAATAAGCGTAATACTAGTAAACTGTTTTAAATTAATCAAAATAGGTATGTTACGTAAGCATGTTGGTGAAGCCTACCATGTTTTCAGTACAGGTACATGAAAATAAGGGGGTAGATACCTATAGCTCAACTTATTTTTCAAGTTGATGAAAAAGCATTAACTCCGGTATATGCACACAAACCAAACAAACATTATGGTGTTTATTATTTCTCTTCTTTTTAGTATTGACGCCGATGGGCAACGTCTGAAGTATATAAAAGAATTTAGCAGTTTTTCTTGCTATTTTACCATCACTTCTAAAAACCTCTTAACGATTTTCATAGTTGTGAATTCTTGATTTGTTATTAATTTTGAATATGTTATGATTTAATTACTTTTACATTTTCTAAACTTTCACAAAATTAAAAAATTATTTAGTCCCTTTTAACGAAAAACCGTCAGCTTCTACATATAGAAAATTGTTACATAAAATTCTTAACTGGATCACTACTAGAAGGAAATGATTCAAAATATTTTTTTCTTGAATAAATACAGCAACATTACTTCAAATAATTGAACTTCGATAATCTGAAATATACGACTGTTTTCCGCTGGTACTTCAAATTCTAAACTTACGTCCTTATTGTTAACACGTTGTCAAGTTATTTGTCACAAAGTTACAGCCCATATAAGGATCATCTCCTGCAACTAAAAACGCAGTAGCAATTACGAAGTAAATCACTCATTCCAACTTTCCTCAGACTCCCTGCTCGCAAGAAGCGGAGGTTACAGAAAAATGGGGTTCAAAATTTGCCGACAGGGCATGAATTTGGTGCAAGTAGACGTTTTTACATGCCATAAATCTGCAACTTCGCGAGAGCTTTTTTTACCTTCTCTCAAGAGACCGTGCTGAGGATTTTTATAGCTTCTAAAAATTCCACTTGAGGCGCGATTGATCCTGCGTTACTCTTATAACGCATGCAATGGACATTTTGCGGCAGGTGAAGTGTTTTAATAAAAATACCATAATAACACAGACGGGAAAAGGTTAAAGAAATATATAATATGTGAAATAAACGTATATCATGTTAATGTGAGGATGAATGGATCTCAAAGAAGAGATAGCTGAAAACATTTTATTTCTGTTTCGTGATCAGTATCGAAAGAGTAGTTTGTGTAGAAAATGAGAAACGCAAACCGTCTCAAGATATAAATAAAGAAAACTGAATCAATTCCGATAAAGATCATAATTTATGTTCCTGTATTTAGTAAATTTGTTTTACCTAAGACGTTTTGTAGACGTAACCCACGTTTTGTCGGTCCTCATACCGAAAAAACAATTTATTGCAAAATGACTGTTCGTTTATCCGTTCGTCTGTGTGTGAACAATCCCAGTGGCTAAACCGAAAGTATATTATTCTCTGAAATTGACATTTCATGATCGATCTGGCTGATGTAGCTGTCTCATGAATCTAAAAAGAAAATTTTAATTTTGGTAGTTCACATGAAGTCTCAAGAACATTTTTTATCTCAAAAATGGCTACAAATTTTGAATACTTTTTTTATCGAATACAGAACATATAAACCATTTTTGTTAAATTCTCTAAATTTTCGAAAATTACTCAAGTTTAACTTTTTCTGCATCCTCCTACAACTGCAATATTTAAAATAGATTTCCATAATGAACGTTTTTATACTTTATATCATTTGTGAATGCAAGTGCTTCAAACGATTTCTTATTCGTTCGTTGTAAGTTTTCTGTGAAAATGAGCAAAGAATTTCGCATTTTCAGAAACACTACAATGATATTTTAGTTTATTGCCATAAAAATCTGCAATTATAGAATACTAAACAAAAAATTAGCAATGATAATAAATTGATTCTCATTTTTTGAATGTACATCTAATATAATATTTTTTCTATAATTAAAACAGATAAACTTTTACGATATTGTATTTTTTATTCATAGGCTTCCCTTTGCAACTATGTGAATCAAATACGAACAATTTTAACAATTTTATTTTACACTGGAAGCGTGTATAACCCCTTTTTATTCGTTCACTTTGGAAATCCGCACAATCTGAAAGGAATGCAGTCCCAATTAATCTTCCAATCGCCGTCGTATCGATTTACTTTTCCCATCCCCTGATTGTGCTTACTCCGTGCCTCGGACGCGTGCGCAGGTGATCAACTTCGACTCGCCGCGCGGCGGCATCAGCCTGGTGACGGAGAAGGGGCCCGTGACGACGAGCCGGCTGCTCATCCAGAAGGCCATCCCCACCGACTCGGGGCTCTACACGTGCGACCCCTCCAACGCCAAGTCGGCCAGCGTCAGGGTGCACATCCTCAACGGTGAGTGCTCGCCTGAGGCGCGATGTAATGGTGCGTAACACTGATCAACTTGGTCAGCAATACGTAAATAAAGAAATTTAAACGAAACATCACGCTTTTAAATTAATTATTGAGTGAGATAATAGTAAATATATTAGTCAACAATTTTATAGTGTTCAGCTTTTGTTGCTTAAGTAGTTGTTTTGATAACGAGCCACGTTAGGAGCAAGCTTTCAAATTTCAACGAATGCATTAAATCAACATTATAAACGTATTGCATTCGGAGTTTTTAAAAATAGTTTTAAAAATGTATATGAGAATCCAAGGTGTTTTTAACATTTTTATTATGACATCGCGGATAAACGGTGGTCAGCAGTTCGATTTAACGCCACCCTCCCCTGCCCCAAATCATCTGCTACTATCAGCTATGCTATCTCCCGCCATCGCCCCACAATTCTCTCTCTGCGATCAGATGAATGTGCGATGACGCAATTATTCGTATCATAAACGGCTAATACTTTAAAATCTACACCGTGAAATGTCATTTTATGAACGATTTCTTACAACTAAATACGTCGTTTATAATGCTAGTATACAAACAAAATAGTACCATTAATAAAATAATCGTTTGTTGTTAAATTTTGAAATAATGAGTATGAATGAAAATATTTTTATTATAATTTGGGGGGCATTATTATTGCAATGAAATAATCACGTCCCTTAAGTATAATCACTATGTTTGCATGTGATCACTATGTACATTCAATGAGCAATCTCAGAAATCGATAGTTACGAGATATGTTATCTTGGTTTCTCACACATCTTGCAACATCACTCCTTACTCGCAGGGTGGTCGGACATGAGGGATATAATATGAAAGTTCGCAACATCCGAGCCTAGAGATTCGGACGACACTTGACTGTCCATCCGGATCTAGATATTGCAATCTGGACATCTAGATCCGTGCATCCAGATCTCAACATCCAGAACGGGACATGCAGATCGGGTTGTCCGGATCAGACATCCGGATCTGTAGATTGTTGTCCGAACTTACAACACCATGGGGCTTAAATCTAAAATTCTTGAAAGTAATGATTGTCCACGTGTGTTGGTAAAATTATAGTTTCCTTTGCCTAATACTGACAATCAATTATAGTTATTTTTTATCAAATCCTGTATTTCATCTCTTAGCGACGTTTTGACGTCAGGTTAGCTCCATCATCACTCAAACTAACAAAATAATATTTAATATTATCATAAATATTGGATTTTCATCATTAACATGTGGTGATCCGTAATGACATTGTCATGTGCCCAAAAAACAACAGGAACTCTCATTTGAAATAAATGGGTTAATTCTCAGTACGCTCCTCGTGGTGTTTTCCGTTGGTTGAGTGAGGGCCGTGTGCCTTAGGAGAACATCCGGCCGCCATGTACCACGGCGGCGCGGGCGGTCTGCGAGCGGCGAGCGCGCTGGCGTCCGCCGCAGCCGCCGCCGTGCCGCCGCTGCTGCTCCTGCTGCTCCGACTGCTGCGGTGGCAGTAGCGCCCCCAACATATCAGCGGCGGCCCCCGCACCCGCTCCCGACGCCGCGGCCTCCACCGTACCCCGGTAAATAACGCCCGCCGCCCGAAAGCGGCGCCACCTGCCTTAGCTCAGAAGTGACATTGCCGCTGCAATGTAGCTGCCCGGGAG